AGAAAAATGAATATGCATCAACATGGTAATTTTCTTTCTTCCTTTAATAAGGATACTAAGAAACTTGTCCATAGTTATGAGAGGAACCTATAAAATATAAGTAGACAAAATCTGTCTAAATTGATTCAATGAGACATGTCTTAATGAAAACATGCTGCCAAAATATATGCTATAAAATATATATATATATATATATATATATATATATATGCAATTTTTATATAAATTATTTATTATATATGCACAGTACTTATTGGAAAGCACTTAATATGAGTGATAGTGTTAACATATTTAATTGGATTGGTGTTTGTGACAACACACACCAACAACTAAATATGCTATATATATATATATATATATATATATATATATATATATATATATATATATATATATATAAACAATCTCAATGACCAAACCAGTAGAAGAGGACAGCACCAGTTGAGCTGGCATAACAAAGGTGGACCCTGACAGACCAAGGATCTGACAGTCCGATGCATGAAAGGGTTGCCAGATCTTGTAAATAGCTTTATAAATTTCTCTATAACCAAGAATTTGTAATGGTAGCCTTAACACTAACAAGAAAAAAAGAGGAAGTAATAGAACAAGAAATGGGGACATGGTTGAAATAATTAAAAAGTTTTTCATTTCCTGTGATTTACAAAATCCAGTCATTTACTCATTCTGGAATTTCTTATCCCAGTAGTGAAAGACTGAGAGGTTGTTCAGGGTATAACACAAGGTAGCTGTTAAGATAGACACATTGAGAAAATCAGCATACATATGTAGGTGAGTGAGGTAGACTCATGGGAGAAATATTCCACAAATTATCACCCTGTAGTAGACACTTAGTCTCTGCTTCTACTTTTGGTTTTATCACTAACCAAAGACATTGCTGTTGTTGGAAGCACCTTAGTGTTGCTGCTGATGGTTTGGTTAAGTTTGCCTGCCATTGGTTCTGTCATAATTGCTTGACAATTTAGATGTGCCTTTGTGGGTGAAATCAGCTTTTATAGCAAGTCAGTCCCTGGTATTTTTGGATGGTATTCCAGAAGTGGGAGCATGGAGCTGGATTAAATTGATGTTTTTTGTCATATTAGCTGTGGATGTCAAAGTGATCACTTTCATTTATTTTAAAGAATTGGAGTTCCAACAGAGAACAACAAATTTATCAAGTAATAAATAAAAGGAATTCCTCAGTTTAGAACTGAACTGTTATGTCTAATCCAGTTTATATGTATCTCTAAAAATGAGTGGATATAATATACAGTATATTCTTCTTCTTTTATAACCCTGTCTCTTTTGAATGTGTGTGATCATAGCTCTCCACAACTATCTATCTCTTTTGGTACTTGGCAATGTTTGAACCCCTTATTATCCCACCTAGACCCTGTTCTGCCATTCTTTTACACAGACTTGTTAGGTATGCTACTCAATGTTTCCTTCTTGCCTTCAATATATCATGTGACTCTCAAATTCTCCAAGCCCTCTTTCCTCATGGTGTATTCCAGAAATTTCAATTGTCTCTTTCTGATCTTAAGCATAAGTCTTCTTTTAATATCCATTTTCCTTAAAACTTCTTCATTGTCTGCATGTTCCATAACCAGATTTATATTGTCTCCTCATCTGTGAGGAAATCGTTCAGCATTCACTGCCATACAGGAGAATTGATATTATATAGCAGTTCAACATACTTTTCTTTGTTTCTAACAAAATTTTCCTGTTTCTTAATATTTAGCTTAGTTTTTGAAAGGTATTTTTTTCATATTCCAATGTGCTTTCAAATTTCTATGTCACATTTTCCATTGTCTGTTGTAGCACTTTTCAGACAGTTAACTTTCTGTTTTGCTTTATTTTGACAGTTTCATAGCTCACATCTTGGATTGTCCTTTCTTATAAACAAACAACATTTGAATGCTTTTGCATATGGGAATGATCAGTAAAAACAAAACAAACACAATAGAAGGAATTTCAAGATCAAGTATCAGGTGTAAAAGACTCTAAGGTCAGTAGAACATTGTATTGTATATAGCCCGGATAGACACAATGTATATTTGACTTGCCCTTGTTTGTTTTGAAGTATGGGTGACCTGGTCCAAAGAACAGAGAGATGAGTAATGTATTTTTCTGGGACAAGTATTTCATATAATGTAAGAACAATAGACATGATTCTAACCTGAAACTTTTGTTTGTCATCTTCCGGTGTAATTTAGAAGATAAAGTCGTGAAGTTAATTATTATATTCTAATTACCCAGAAAGATGTTACCTGTATGGTCATCAGTTTATCCGGTGGGGATGGTGGTGGGATAGGGTGCCCTCCACCCCAAGATCAACAGGTTATCTTCACTAGTTTTTAATAGATGTGGCAGGGTGTGGGTGGATGAGATGTTTATTTTTTGAGGAAATTTTTGGATATCTCTCTATGTTGGAGTTTATTAAGACTATCCATTTATTAATTTCACACTTTTGACCATTTAAAAAGTTTTCCAGGCCTGCTTTTTATTAAGATCCTCTCCACAGCGGTTTATTGCATATTAAGAATAATCTCCCCCCCCTCCACTTATGATTTTCCCCTTTTGTATTAAGCAACTGAGTGTACTCTAATAATGATAATGGTGCATTGCAATTGTTTCATTATATACTTTTTTCTTTTATGTCACTTCACGACAGGAGTAATCATAGCTCTCCTCTGCTTCCTATTCTTTGTAACAATAAGCAATGTTTGTCTTCTTATTATCCCTTCTAACCCCTGTTTTGCCATCCATATTGTTATATACTGTACCTATGAATACTAATGAGTATATCCCAATATTTTAAGTAGGGGTAATATGCTGTCTAAGTAGTCCACAACTAGCAGTGGTTTACCTACTTCATGCCACTGGCGAGTATTGTATTTTGTTGATGTTATAAAGATTACCATTTTCATTTTCAACCTCCATTTTGGTTATTCCTCATTCATTAACCCTTTCTAGGTTACAACACAAATAAACCAGCTTGTTAGGTAAGTTTATTCAATGTTTCTCTCTTGCCTTCAGTATTTCTTGTGAGTGTCTTTGCTTCTCATAAAATTTTCCTCTCTCTTTATAATTTGTTTAGCTTTTGGAAAGCATCTTTCCTTATTCCAATGCACTTGCACATTTCCATTGACTGTTAAAATTATTTGCTAGTTGCTTGTATGATATATTCCAAATATGTCTTTCTTGTCCTGTTTAAAAAAAAGTAGCAATTCATATCCATGCTTTTATATTTGTTTTGAGAGCAGCTTGTTTTTAATTGTGGAATATGTGATCATCATTCCTTTCTATTTATTTCATTCTTTTATTTGGGCTGATGTAACACATTTAAACATAGAAAGAAATTGTTCAAAGATCTCAGGAAAAATAATTGCCAATCAGAAGTAAACAGTAGCAAAAATGCCATTCAAATCAAACTTCCCTTTATCTCATGGGACACATGATTATCAATTCTTCTGGGTCTTTCATGGCTTCTCACATCAACAAAGGATAATTATTTGGCACTGCCTATTTCTTCTTCAAGAAACAAGGCAATGAGTGCTGAGTCACATCTTATAAGGAACATGGAAGAATCCTAGACTTTTGTTAAAAATTCCTAGAATTTTGAAAAGATTATTACCCCAGTTGTTTTTCATTAATATAAATTGTAGCTTTTAATTAGACTCAGTTTTGGTTATTTTTTTCTGAATTTACTGTTAAATATGCTTAAGTAGCTTTAATTACAAAGAGCTTTAAATTATTTAATTAAAAACAGCTTTAATCAGGTACGGTAACATTAAGACATATTTATGTTGTAGATTTTTTTGTCACCAATATGTTGTATTGCAGAATTCTTCAAATCCTGACTTGATTTCCACTTAATTCCTCTGAGAGTGCCTTGAGTTCAATTCAGTTTAACTTGAGTTGTTTTCCATTGACTATAAACTAAGCAGAATATTAAATTAGTGAATAATACAGAATATAGCAAGCCAGAAATTAGTTCTGCTCCAACCAAAACAAAAATGGTATTGGAAAGTTTATTCATCAGACCAATGTTTGCAACACGTCTTAGTTTAGTAAATATTTCAAGTGATGGTTAATGAGCATGTCTCACAGACTATTGCTGTAGTCATGATTTCAAGTACACTAGGTACTTCAATTTTGTTGCCTTGTGTCAGACAAAGCTTAGCACATTAAATTTCTCTAAGAACTTGTACTGAACAAAATAAATTCTCATTAATGTTTGTTATTTATCTTGTATCATGTTGAGAATGAGCCAAGTTGGTTAGCAACTTAGAAAATGGGAAGAGTGAATTGAGTTCAAATTCTGGGCAAGGTAGTTTGTCTTTAATCTTTTCAAATACTCTTGTGGGGAAAAAAACTTTAATCCATCTCTGAAATATAAGGCCATGTGGTATTTCCTTTATTTGGTAACATGTAAACCAGTGCAGTATTGTTTGTTTTGATACAACCATTTGTTTGAAGTGAATGTAAATTTTCATAGCCAGTGTTTGAACATGACCCATTGATTTCTTTCTCCAGGTAGTTATCTGTTGGTTAGCAACTTAGAAAATGGGAACAGTGAATTGAGTTCAAATTCTTGGCAAGGTATTTCGTCTTTAATTTCCACAAATATTTTTGGGGAAAAAAAATAAACAAAGTTTCTACTCAAATATGGGTATCTACTAAAAATAATGTTTGAAGTAACAAAAATATCCAACTGTTATAAGATTATAAATAAAATTATCAATGCCTTTATGAGATATTTTATGCTGAAATCTAAATATTTTATATGCAATTTAATTAATTTTTTGGGAAGATAATAATGGTTTCATTTATACAAGTTTTACTAATTAACCCATAGCTAGAGGAGAAGAAGTAGATTCCATCTTTTCCTAAGAGTATTTGTGTGTAGATCAATATAAAGAATCCAACTGGAATTGGAGCTTGGCTCTCCGATTAAAAATTCTGAGTCATTATCCATTACATCACCCGCACATTCAGATTTACAGCACCTGGTATTCCTAAGCAGTTACCCATCTAGGTACTGACCAGGCATGATGTTGCTTAACTTCAGTGATCATATAGGAAACAGTATTTCAATGTGATTTGGCCATAAGCCTCTTGGATAACGGTATGAATCCATTTATCTATAGGTTAAATAGCAGGCAAGACTCGTCCTTCTATCCCTGGTTGGTAACTAGTCAAGGAAAAAACTGAATTCAAAACCAGTTATGTAGCCCTTGCAAGGAGCATTGTATAATACAGTCATTTCTAAAGAATTTATGGATTTTATTTTTGTTGTGGCCTTGTTAGGGGCCAGAAATATAGATACAAAGAGAGGAATTGAGTTAACAAATATATTAACAGAAACAGTAATACAAACATATACAAATGAAAGTGTTACAGCCAGAAATGTTCAGTCTGACTTTTAGAGCTGACTGCTGGAAAACTACTCTTTCCAAAAGGCAGTACCTGCTCCTATTTATAACTGTGAGAATCCATGCATGCATGGGTAAATTACTATAACAATTTTATTAATCCAACATATTTCTATTACTTAATGACTTAAAAGCCACCCTATTGGGCAGCATTTAATCTATCTCCTGTGGAGGCCTCTCAATTAGGCCTTCATCACAATAGATAGGGAGGAGTAGATGTAATAGACAACAAACTACAGAAGCACTCAAAATTGATTACAGCATTTAAGTATTGCAATAATATTTAAGCTTACTTTTTAAAAATTTAACAATAATTCTTCTGCTGGCACATAATTTAAAGACAATTTGATATACATAGGTACTTACTTTCCATAGAAACAATTATTTTTATTTCATGGTTGACTTTCACTGGTTTTCACAATTAATTTTGATTATTCCAAAATTTATTTGCAAGTTATAAAAATTATTGTACAAAAAAATTTTTTGCAAAAAAAATCACCAAAAACAATCACAGTAATGAAAACTTTGGAATCCAAATTTTCAGGATTGCCAGTCTGGATCCAACCAAGAATGTTTTTGATTTTCTCATTGAGTTGGCCTGATTCCAAAATGTTATGTTGGACTCCAACCTCTAGGAGTAAAGTTGAAAAGGCGTGACATTCGCATTCATTATATAGATGTTCGGAGAATACATTTTCTTTTTTCTTTTGCTGGCCAAGCTTGACATTGCCTAACTCTAAGGATACATAGCCATGAGATGATAAAACTGTAAGCCAATGAAATTATATTTTTCAATTAGTTGTTATGTTGGGTTTTGGACTCTGATTTTAACTGAAGTTGAATAAAAAAAAATGTTTTTTAATATTTGTCTTCATTGGTAAAAAATTGTAAGTGCTATCAAACATATTTAAAAAGTCTTATTTATGATATGAAACCTGGCAAATATATTTTTCTCTTCATTTTTAATGTCTTTTTGAACATGTCTCTAATGCTGCTGTGTTAACAATGTTCTACTTATTAATCAGTACAAGCAGATAATTACTAGGATTTCCCAACAAGAAACATTAAGATTACATAATCAGATAAATTAATCTGACAATTATTAAATAAAAAATGAATTATACATTTCATTTAAACCATAAAAAATGCAGGTGGCTGAGCTGAACAGCAAAGAAAAGAAAAGAAATGAAAAGCAAAAAAAACAAGAAAAACAAATATGGCTTCCAGAAGCAAATGTTAGAAAAAAAAATTATGAGTGGTAGGTTAAGATAAAAGCCTGGTTTGCAAAGAAAGAACTATTAAAAATAGATGTCAGAAAGGGGGTCATGAGAGAAGAATGAGTGGAGCCCAAGGCAGATTATTTGTCTTATTTAAAAAGAAAAAAAAAAATTAAAAAAGCCGAAACAACTTTGGAGATATATTAAGTCAGATTTGCTATTTACTAAGTTTAGCTTAGTATGGCTCAAGTCTTCAAATATAGGGCACCCAATGAGAGGAGAAGTCAATACTTAGTTGAAATGGTCAACTCATAAATTCTATATCCTGAGGTAGCCTTGAAAGATTGATTGATTTGTTTGTTTAACAGCACATCAACGCATAAGTTATTTAATGCTGAAATTTAATTTTCTTAGCAACTTTGAATTAATAAAAATACGATATACGTTATTCTGCTTTTACAATTGAATTCATGGTAAAAAGTACTCAGCTTTTGTGCATATACATGTTTGTGTGGACATTATTACTGGAGGTGATAATAAGTGTATTTTATATTGTAGTTCTGGTGAAGTTATATTTTGAAATGCAGTTTGATTTCTTTAAGAAATTGTAGGATATTATAGGCATGAGGAGGTGTGGTGGAGTAATGGATAGTGGCTTGGATTGAGAAATCAGAAAGCTGAGTTCGAATTCCAGTTGAATCCATAATATTCACTTTCATGCTAATAATCTTGGGAAAGGTATGAATTCTCTTCTTCTCCCCCCAGCTATGGGTAAAAAGCAGGACAGACTGAGTTCTATAGAATTTGATAGCAACTGGTCTACTGCAGAAAGAAATGGCAACCTACTGCAGGAAAAAAATCTGCCTCGTCAGTCATGTATCTTTCAATACATGATCTCCTAAGTGTGTATAACGCATGGCACATAACTGACTGACTGAGGATATTATATGGATTAATGTCATGGAAGTTCTTTTATGTTGTTTGGTTGGTTTGTTTTTGTTTGACAGCATATCACTCTAGGGGTTATATAACGTTGAAATCTAAATATTTTGTACATAATTTTAAGCTTTCAACTACAGATATTTTGTACATCATTTTATACATTCAGGGTAAACATATGTTTTTAGTTATATAGTTTGTAGATCTTAAAATGTATTGTTTGTAGTTTTACTAAAAAAATGTACAGTTGATTTTTGTTTATGGCAGTGATGGGGGTCACTATTTGCCCATAGTTGGAACCCTAACAGGTGCTACTACCCCAGTTCAGGATGGACCTGGGAACAACAGCAATTAAGAAGTGGTTCCACACTCCTTAAAACCACCAATCTAACAATCAAAGGGCCTTGTTGCCAGATAAAGAGTTGGAGTCAATTGAAATCATGTATGAATAAGATTTCAATATTTATTTTTAATTTTTACATGATGAATTTTCATTATAATTATTTTTCTATGACTTTTACTCCATCCAATTACTGTTTCTTTTTATCACAACAGTTTAGATAAATACACTCTTCATTATTACGATTATTTTAAGATCTATACACTATAAACAGTCAATGATTACAGTTACACACTGTCTTATTTTGATGGCTTTTTATAAACCATATGACGATTTGCGAAATCCAGTGAGGTCTTTATATTCTGATCCAAACTGTTTGTTATTGCCTTCTTATGATATCAAAGGTTTTTACCAAATATCTACAAGCAAAAATGAGGTGAGCAAACTTCAATAACACTTCTAAGATTTTCCTAATATTGAACAAAACATGGCACTGGAAACTTTTGCATCAATTTAATACCAATCAACAGAACATCAGGTTTGAACCATCCTAGACTCTGAATCCCAAGGTAAGGTGGATAGAAAACACTTTGTAACCAATCTCAAAACCTTGAATATTATTAACCTCTAGAAAGTGAGTCATGACTCTGGCTACAGAGGTAGACATGACACTTGATTTTTCACTCTTCTTTTTTTTTCAGTGGATAAAAGCATTGGTTGAATCCAATGATTTGACCCAAAGAGTTGTGAGTTCAATACCTGGCTACAGCTGAGGTGAACAAAAACTTGGAGAGTTGAGTTAAAAGGGAGATAACTGATACTGAGACATCCGGAAGAGGCATGGCGTGTGGAACTAGAACAATCTACCCTGGTGGACTTAATAAAGGGCTCAGTTTAAAATTCCAATCGCCTGAAGAAGACCAGAGCATACAATGGCCGAAACGTTGTGAATATGGCAACGAAGATGAAGACAAGAGTCCAGACAATAAAAATAGAGTAAATAATTACAATATCTCATCTCAAAAATATAGACAGATATTGAAAATAAAAGGTGTTGATCCTTGAGCAAATCTCTTTGTTAATTTGGGCTCTAAGCTGCTTCATCAATAGTGATTTCTCCTTGCATCAAATAACACACTTGAGAGTTGACTTGATTATTGACTTGTTTCTTGATTGCAAGGATCACAGAGGAATGATGTGCCCATTTGCTGCAGATGCACTCTCCAGTCTGTATCAGTAACTTAAAGTGTAGATTAGCGTGTAATGATTGAGACCAATCTTTAGCCCTGGAGCCATTCCTTGGAAGTTCATAATATAGTTGAGATAACTGTGACAACTGATACACTGTTATGTTTTTTTTCATCAGAGTGTAAGAAAAAACAGACAGTCACAAATCTCAGTTGTGGCAATTCTTAAGAGTAGCCAAAGGAACAGTCGTAAATTTAATGTGTAGCCAAACGAACGGTTGCAAATCTGACAAGTAGCAAACAGTTGCAAATCTGATGAGTAGCAAAATGAACAACTGCAAATCCAGCACGTAGCAAAATGAACAGCTGCAAATCTAGCACGTAGCAAAATGAACAGCTGCAAATCCAGCATGTAGCAAAATGAACAGCTGCAAATCCAGCATGTAGCAAAATGAACAGCTGCAAAAATAGCAAAATGAACAGCAAATGTAGCAAAAAAATGAACAGCTGCAAATCCAGCATGTAGCAAAATGAACAGCTGCAAATCCAGCACGTAGCAAAATGAACAGCTGCAAATCTAGCACGTAGCAAAATGAACAGCTGCAAATCTAGCATGTAGCAAAATGAACAGCTGCAAATCCAGCATGTAGCAAAATGAACAGCTGCAAATCCAGCACGTAGCAAAATGAACAGCTGCAAATCTAGCACGTAGCAAAATGAACAGCTGCAAAAGCATGTAGCAAAATGAAGCTACAAAAAATGAACAGCTGCAAATCCAGCATGTAGCAAAATGCAAACAGCACGTAGCAAAATGAAATCCAAAGCACGTAGCAAAATGAACAGCAAATAGCATGTAGCAAAATGAACAGCTGCAAAAGCACGTAGCAAAATGAACAGCACGTAGCAAAATGAACAGCTGCAAATCTAGCATGTAGCAAAATGAACAGCTGCAAATCCAGCACGTAGCAAAATGAACAGCTGCAAATCTCGCATG